GCGGCGGGGGGGGTGGGAGAAAATTTGACTTTTTTTGCTTATGTCCTATACAGATGGCCCCCTCCTCAAGTTTGTTTGCTTCGGTGCTGTATGACGTAATTTTATAATTATATTTCTTACGGCTGAACGGCAGCAAGAACACTAAGAAAACTAGAGAATGCAGGAATATTAAATTTTTGACATATTTTATAGGATCTGAGGGGCCTCTGAAATCTGTTTTTAGAAACTGCAGCTGTATGACTTTGAATCCCCTCTGACCCATGTACAGCAGCTGTATGACTTTGAATCCCCTCTGACCCATGTACAGCTTTTGATCCACATTAAAGTTCACCTGTAACTTGAGTTTGACCAGTGACAGACTAAATATCAATTGATATCTATAGCAGATACACTTCTGCAAAACTAATTGACAGCAGATTGCAATATAAACATCATTTATCTTCTTTTTACCTTCAATTACCTTTTTTTATGCCAGCTTAACTCGATCCCTCTAGACACGCTAAGCGAGTAGTTATTGGATACATTATGTATACTGTATGTTTATTTATTTACTATTAAGATACTGCACTGTATGATTTTGTGACGGTGTTGCACAAGTTTGAGGTTAAACAGGTCTGTTTTTGGCTTTTAAAATAGTTTTTCCAAATGAAAAGAGTTATTATAAAAAAGTAAAGCAAAGTTTATGCTATCAGCAATTGGTTAGCCAGGGTCAGTATACTATATTCCATCAGCAATTGGTAAAGCAAAGGTTATTGCAGCTGAAGATTTTTGCTGTCCCCTTCCATGATAAAAATTCTGCAGTTGACAGAGATTACTGCCTCTTCACATGAAGAAAAAAGTTGAGACCGCCCCCTCTGCACTCCCTTCGTATGTCACTGGCTATCTTCTCAAGCTTACTTTGCACAAAAATTGTAGTCTCTATTCTTTATGACTAATATTCCCTGCTGAGCAAGGAGTTTGATAAATTTGCTCTCGGCAAAATAGGTGACTAGTATTTAACACGATTTTTTAGATTAAAAAACTTGTTCTTTTAGGTAGAGGAGCTGAGGGCCTCTGAAAGAAATTTGCGAGTTCGTGTCAAGAGCCTGACAAATGAGTTGGCCATGTTGAAGAGGTAAAAAAAAAATTAACACATTTTCACACTCACATTTTTTTTTTAAATAGATAAATTTCATTAAAAAAATTATTTGAAAAAATGCTCTTATCACTTTAATAATATAATTGTTACTGTTTTTATTATTTCATAGTATACCATTACCTGCATTTATTAACCTCTAACCTTATTTACTCCCCTGCCTATATGAATTTCATTATTCCCCTGCCTCTGTTTTATTGTCGAATTTTGAGCATTTTACCAGAGAAACTTGATTTATACTTGACCAAAATAAACATTCAAATGGTCCTTTCATGGAATTTTTCTTACATAGAATGCTTAATAATAAATCACTAAGTTGTTTTTATTGCTGTGTTTGTGAAGAGCTGGCAAACATATATTTCAGAAATAATCCAAACAAAGCTCAGTTATGTTCAGGCCTGTAAAAAATGTTATTTGAACAAAAACTTTGAGTTTGAGCGTTGTAGAGTTATTTTAATACTTGAATTAATTTTGTCTTGTTTTAAATCAAAGTTTGAATACAATTTTGAGTCAGTTATTGGCCTTCATAACTTTTCTCTTGAGCGCAGTTCTATTTTCATGAACAACAAAAAGATTTGATATTACTATAGCTCATTGATAAGACAGAAAAGAGATTTTTTGATAAGGTGGTCAAATATCTAGGCCCTTTATTAATATGACTCTTTGTATTAAAAGTTATTGTATATTTGGTTAGAAATTTTTTAAAATTGGTTAAATTTTAAATTCCTCCATCATTTTGCGTTTGCAATGTTGATTTCATGTCAGTCTAACTAGGTAAAATCTTGTGATTAATTTTTCACTCAGTTCCACGCAAACCACATCTTTAAAAGAAGTAACCACAGTATTTTTTCAGCACTAGTTAACAAAATAAATACCCACATGTTTCCTACTTCAAGCTGAAGTAAAGAAAAAAATTATTAGAACCGAATATTGTATAACATATTTAAAATTGTTTTCTAATTTACCACTTTTATTTAAATCCGCCAAACATTAAAGTAAATTTTTAGCCATCAGAGCATTTTTGGTAAACATTCGACTGAAAAAGAACTGCAAAAAACTTTAAAGCAATAAAGTCAACTACTTGTCATGAGTGGGAGTGATGAACCTGTTGATCACTGCACATTTTCTTAAATCTTGGAATCAAAATGCTCTGAGCTTTGCCACTTAGAAAAAGATATTGATTTTTTAATGTTATCCAAAATTCCATACCGCTAAATTTTGTATTCAACATTTTGTCCCAAGTCCTACTCCATCTAATTCTGCAGCAGTAAATTCCAATGTAGCACTGGCCATGAATGGATCCTGAATCCATGCTAATATATTTGAAATTAATTATTGTAGAGCGCCATCTAGTAACTATAGGTAGAGGCTTCTGAAGAATAGTTTTCCTAAGTGAGTCACTGGTTTGTACCAGGCCTGCTAGATATCATGTCCTATCACATTGAATTGAAAACAAATTACTTATGGTGTAACATTTAGTGGTGCCCCATGGTAAAGACTATGTAAGTCTATATGTGATTGACTCAGAGACTATGTAAGTCTATATGTGATTGACTCAAAGACTATGTAAGTCTATAAAAATATGTTATGACTCAGAGACTATTTAAGTCCATAGGGATATTGTGATTTACTCAGAGAATGTGTAGGTCCATAGATCTATAAGTATTTGACTCAGAGACTATCGAAGTGTATATGTAATGGACTCAAAATGCTCTTAAATATTTGTTTGAGGCCACTTAGTATGTGTCTTAGATTTTATTAAAAAAATATTTTAACTTTGTATTTCTAATGGTCATTTTTTTTATTGTGTTCCGCAGAAGACGGGAACAAAGGGTTAATTCTTCAGGGTTATCATCTAGGTCTAAGCGTTCAGGAAACTCCAGTAAACTTTCAAGTAAGTGTACACAAATAACAATGACATAACATGTGCATATACAGTCATCCCTCACCATGTCAATGTATCGTGGATTTCTTACTTGTTTATATTCTAATTTAGATACCCATATAGAATTTTATATGTGGTAAAATTATAAGGTTTACAAAGAGTGGAGAATGTGTTAGAGCTCAGGAAGCTTTATAAGAGTTTAGGAGGGTTAACTGATGGCATCCGTCCGTCACAATGTGATGTTAGAGTGTATGAGGGTTAATTGATGGCATCCGTCCGTCACAATGTGATGTTAGAGTATATGAGGGTTAATTGATGGCATCCGTCCGTCACAATGTGATGTTAGTGTAGATTTCACAAGACGAAATCCACAAGGCCTAGGATTATTCTTTTTAGGATTGTAACTGGTTCCCTGCACAGCAAATCGCATCTCTCCACGCCCATCATATGTGGATGATACAGCTTGGCACCAGTGGCGTCGCCGGAGTTGTCCGAATGTTTCATTATACCAATGCTATCCGCCTACGGGACTCCATCTCCGGATTTGAATTCAGAGTTTCCTTCTCTTAGAGGAGTTGCCATCCAAGGTTAACGGGTTCCGTCCACCCAGGGTGCTCATGATGTTTTTTGCTTGACTTAAGATTAATCAAAAACTATCCTACTAATATTTCTCTTTTTCCCTGTATATCTACTATTTTCTTATTGCCTTGTATTTATCCCTGGATATTCTGGTCCATTATTATTGTGGACCTTATTTTTCACAGTGTCAATATTTATATTCTCTCGCTTCCTGTGTTCCCACTTCCGGCGACAACAATGGATATTTCTTGAGTTGTTTACTGTGCTCTGTTCTTTGGGATTTTTTTCATTTGTCCTGTGCGCCAAAGAAGGCTCTATGCCAAAATGTCCTAATCTTTTTGTCCTGTTCTCTTATTCAAGCTTCCACATACCTCGTTTTGCTATTTCATTGAGATTGAGACCACTCGGCCACCCAGCACCCTTGGGAGGGCTTATAAAGACTTAAAATGTGCATAAGTAATAAATTAAATATAAGGTTGCCACTTCGAAGATTTTCGCTCATGGGGGTGGGAGAGGGGTGCCTGGAACCTAACACCAGTGATAGACGATGGACCACTGTAATACATAATTTATACTTGGCATTAATTTGATGACTTATGGTTTAAGTTCACTGCGTAAGTTCAACATCCATTACAAATGTAAGCAAGGAGGATGGGCGTCTTTTAAAGAGATAATCTGGTGTAACATTTTAAATATGGAATCCATCTTCATACCTTCTCTTTATTGGTCAGATATAAAACTTTCTTCATGTCGAGACTGTTGGTCTGATAAGATAGAAAATTGTTAATTTTAAACACAGGGGTTGAGGCGGAGGGGGGGAAAGAACAATGAAAAAAGGGCAAAACAAAAACAAACATGTCTGCTGAATCCTTCTTCAACAAACAGAGCCGTGAGCATTGACAAATGATTTAAAGAGCAGATCTTAGGTAGCATCCTAGAGCTAACGGTTAAATGTATTTTATATCATTTCTTTTTTCAAGTACAGTGGAACCCCGCTATAACGCGCCCCGCCATAACGTGAATTCGGAGATAATGCGGTCGTAGCATGGCTCCCGAAATTTGAAATTCATTTACTCCTTCAGGCCTAAGTTCTTTGAAAATTTTATCCATTTGCTTGAAAAGCCATTTTTTAAAGCGAAAAAATCCACAACTTTTCAAAATATCGTAGAAAATGAGCCCCTAAACGCACCACGTTCAAACTAGTATAAAAATTAATGCCGAAAACGAGGCTTTCTTCCGGTAGAACTATAAATAGTATACACGTATATGTTTTCAGAAAAAAGTTAAATATTATAAAACCGCGCATTTACGCGACCCCACTTTTAAAGCGATCCGATTTTATGGACCCTGATCATCGCGTTTTAGCGGGGTCCACTGTATTTTACTACTTCCTTAAGATAAAGAATTTTTGTCTTACCAAATAAAATAAGTTATCAGTTTTTGCTATGCTTGGTAATGAAGATCATGTAAAGTATTTTGGTAATGAAGATCATGTTAAGTATCTTGGTAATGAAGATAATATTAAGTATCTTGAGAATGAAGATAATATTAAGTATCTTGGTCATGAAGATCATGTTAAGTACTGTGGTAATGAAGATCATGTTAAGTATTTTGGTAATGAAGATAATGTAAAGTATCTTGGTAATGAAGATCATGTTATGTATCTTGGTAATGCAGATAATGTTAAGTATCTTTATTGGAAGGAAATGTTCAAAAGGAGAGAGAAAAATTTAGCCAAAAGCAAAAGACATTTGATTTGGTTTTATTTTTCTCCTCCTCAATTCCAGGTTCCAGTAACAGGTCCAAGGACATTTCTTGTAAGTCCTGGTTTGTGTGGACACACATGTATATCATCTGTTGTTTAGTAGACCAGGGGTGAGCAACCTATGGCCGTCTGCCTTTGAAACATTTAATATTGTCCACAAGACCCTCCAGGAACTGAAATTAGTGTTTCCATAAAATGTGCACATTTTAAATATTTCTCTGTGAAACCTTTTTTAAATCAATAGTGACAGTGTAAAATAGTAAAACTGTAATAATAATAATAATAATCACAGAAAATCAAACAATTACTCCACTGCTTTTTTTCTTGAACAGGAGTCTTGGGGAATTTCTGAAGTCTTTCTTCAATGAAGTCTCTTACTCTTAGAACTTAAGACAAAAATTAATTATACCCATGAGGCTTTCTGCAGAAAAAGGTTGCCCACCCATGGTGTAGACCCACATGTGTATTTGTCTGTTGTCTGCTTTGTGTGTCCTCTACATGAGGAATGTTTTTTTAAAATATCAAGCTTGGCATACAGTAAAGTAATAGTAATAAGAAGAAAAATAGTAATCCTGTTATTTTCCAATGCACAAGCTCTTATAATAGCTCAGCCATGTTAAGGTGACACATGAAGTTGGTTTGGTTAATATTTTATTGTATTTCTCTATATTTCTCTAACAGGGTGCCAAGGCAACGCTAGCGATGGCTACGGATCAGATGGATCTTATACATCAAGATTACTGTAAGTTTTTTTTTTTTCTTGAAGCCTCAAGTCTTGAAATATTTGGCAATTTCAATACAAAATAAAATAAATAATTGAATGATTGATGAGATTGGAAATTGTATCTCTGAATATTTTGCAACTGTGGCTGAACTTCAGCCCATTAATAACTCCAAGTGTGGCACACACAAAAATCGTAAAACCATTGTTAAAATGTATCAAAGGGTGTTTGTAACAAAACAAAAATATTTTTGACTATTCATTTCAGGCCAGGTAGTGGAAGTAAGGTTAGGAAAATGGCATTTACAGAAGCAGACAGTTCTGTTGAGGTAAGTACAACCTGTCCTCGGATGTATCGGGTAATGGGCAGATCACATCTTTCTTAAGGTTTTAAAAAATTGTAATATCGTTAATCCACAGTTGACGTCATATTTATATTGACCTTATCTTTCACTTTCAGAGTGCAAGAACAACAACACATCGCCCACCAAGTGGAAGGACTGACAAACAATATCCTTGAGTCATCTCATTGCTGAGAAATATATCTCTCTCTCTCTATTTGTTGCTCAGTATTGTCAGATATAAGATAAAAGTCAATAAGAGTTTTTTTTTAAATAAGGATTTATGCATAAGGCATTAAGTAGGGACTTTTCTTATACAGATTAAAGGTTTGAGTGGCCTGTGTCTATCATGTGTTCACTTTGTGGCCTGTGTCTATCATGTGTTCACTTTGTGGCCTACATCTGCCATGTGTTCACTTTGTGGCCTACATCTGCCATGTGTTCAATTTGTGGCCTACATCTACCATGTGTTCACTTTGTGGCCTACATCTGCCATGTGTTCACTTTGTGGCCTACATCTGCCATGTGTTCACTTTGTGGCCTACATCTGCCATGTGTTCAATTGAATGCTCATGTAACCCTAAGGCTTGCAAACAATATTTTTATATGAGAAAAATACGGAGAGGACAGCATTCACATAATTCGCATTTGAATCAATAAGAAATATACAAAGCTAAAGGCCTTTGACAGTAAAGAAACACAGAGACAAACACTCTTAGCCTGTTGTAAAGTTATGTAGATGCCAGCAAATGGTAGACATTTTCAATTACGGAAATGAACTGTGAAATCAAAGAATTTTGGTATCAGATTAAGAGGAAACATAAAAGATTATAAATAAATAAACGTCAGTTTTTTTGTGTTGTCCTGTTTCAGGTTTTCCTCGACCCTTTGTACATTTCTTATTTTTTAAATGCAATGGATTCAATACACCGCACAATGTTTGAATGTATTGTAAAGCTTTCTTTAACTCTTCTTAAACTGGCAAGTACACCAGATGACAGTTACAAGACCAGGTCTCGGGTAATCAAATCAACTGCTCAAGGAGACAGCGGTAGGCTGGTTTATCAATTACTTAATGCCTTGTAGTTAAAAGTCTAAAATATTAAATTACATTTCTGACAAAGTGTAAAAGAAGGAGACACTTATTAATGTTGCAATTACCAGAAAACACAAGCTCTTGTTATTTACTCTTATCTCTAGTCTTCCTAATAAATTTGACCCATTTTCAAGGTCATTAGTGGAACGCAGTCTTTTGAAGTTAGGTAAAAAAAACAATTGAGGACAACCTCATGGATTAAAAAAATACTACATTAATATTACCGGTCGTTAATTTAATATTTAAAAGAATATTTATTGTATTATATATTTTTATTTTATTTAAAATAAATCGGGCATTAACGAAGTGCCAATACAGCACAATAAAATAATAGACGCATAATTATTCTAAAAGCATTAGCTAAATATGGAACTGTTTTCTTCTTAAAAGGAAAAGAAACTTTAAAAAAGCAAATATATATTATTTATAAATAACTATTTGTTCTCTGCTTGCCTTCAAAATCAACTGGTCTGTATAGATTAATGTTACCAGTTTAATAAGTTTCAAATTAAAAGAATTAATCCCAAGCATCTAAACGATGTAATGTATTTTAATCAACGTCCAGGTGATGACAGCGAGTATTTTGATCGCTCTGCGGAGATTAGTGAAATAGACGAGAGACTGGATAGGCTACAACAGTTAATGAAAGCAGCAATGCCTTGAAACCGCTACAACTACAATTTTATTTATGGTACCACTAAGTTTATTTCTTGTCATTCTTCTGGTTTACTGCTGATTACTGCCTTGAATTATAGAAAGTTCAAATATGGTGTAGTTGAGACTACACTCTAGCCAGCCTACAAGAATGTCACATGGCATAATATTTTAACTGACGACCTCACATTCGTATTCATGTCATGTATTACTATTATTTATTATTATGTGGTTTTTATTATGAATCTATTAAATAAATGAATGTAATTAAAATCTTCTTTTTGAAATAAAAAAAATGAAGAAGAAAATAGTGTCCATCGATAAATATGTATCCATTACAATTACACTACCCCCAGTTTTTTTTTTAACAAAAATACTTTTTTTTCTCCCCAAGGAGATTACATTTCTTGCACTATCTCCACTGCTTTATTTTTCAATGCATAGCTGAAGGTAATCTAATATTAGATGAAGTATGAAGATGATTTCAACATACTCTGGTCTGGTTACTTTAAATACACAACAGTTTTCTTGTGCAGAGAAAGCCATTCCTCTGGGAAGCCATCTACTCCCTGAACAGAGAACCTAATTTTTTGACACAACCATCATAATGAACTTAAAACTCTCATTCCCTTCCACAGAGTCTGGTATGGTTCTACTAAAAGAATTGAGCACTACTCCGACGTCACGGGTAGTTGCTCAAATGCCCCTGACTTTCAGTTTTACAGTGGTGTTATTGAATAGGAATAGGCGATATAGCTGCTCCGGTAGAGCGGAATCGTTAAAACGGAACAGTTACACTCTAACTAAACTCTTTAGGCCAGTAAAGACAGCAGAGCTTATTACTACTCAATTTATACAATACAAATGAACACAGAAATTTTTTCGCTTGTACCAATTTCAAACTTGCAAATAATTAAAAAAGTACGCCAAACAAGCTCTGATATTATATTAACAGACTTGGTTTAATAAAAAAATATCACAATAATGTTTGTAAATTCAGTTCATTTTTTATTATGAAGAGCGGTATAATGTTTTTTAGCATGAAGAGCTGTCAAAAACAACATGCAGTGATTCTTGCCATGAAATTCTAACCTTGCTGAGACAAAGATTCAAAGCATTAATAACACCAGAGAATTATTTTCCTTAAAAATTGTTTTAAAAAGTAACCGGTATTTAGAGTGATGAGTCAGCAATATATTTCCTTCATTTTGGGCAGACCTAATATTTTATTTAACTGTTTTTATTTTCAATTCCTAACTTATGGAGGAATAATAATTTCAGAAAAAAATTAGAAATATAAACAATCTGTGAAAAAAATGTTCAAACTGATGCAAAATTTGGATGCTGGTAAGTAAATGAGATGTGATATTTTGATTACTGCATCAAAAAATGTAAATAGAACGAAATATTTTGATGAGATTGCAAGATCAGTATAAAATGCCTCCTGTGTCTATAAAATGTTTTGAGCAATGATGGCAAGCAAGCAAGTCTACAGATGTACACACAAACAGAACAATGAGCATTCTTTAACAGGAAGCTGTTAAAACCTAAGAGTTCAGACGGCTTTGGGAAAATTGTTGGTCAACATCTTTTGGTCCATACATCCCATGGATTTAAAGTTGCTGTGTAAGTGTAAGTTAACTGCAAACTATATAAAGAATAACATTTTTTGTGGGCATAGGCATGTTGTCTTGTAAAAAAAAAAAATTCAGAGATTCTGTAACAAAAACACAGAGATCTGTTTCTCAACTTTCTGAAGGATGAAAACAATTGTAAAAAAAAAAATTAAACAAAAAACTGGATGTGATTTTAATTGTTCAATAAATTAGGATAAAAAAATTCCATAAAAAAAAAAACCAAGATAAATAAACTGGATGCCAATAACAGAGTTTGTCTAAAGACCACCAACAAAATTGTTCCCATGGGCCATATTTTAGGGCAGAGGTTCCCAAACTTTTTTTGACTCACATCACTCGTGTTGTATTCAGGTTTTCCCTAGGGGCCCTGTCCTGAATTCTAAAAAGTTCACTGTGAAATAGCAGTTTGGTTAAGCATTTTTTTAAACTACAAACGAGAAGAAATACTTTACTTTAATAACTACACTTGATTTGACCGCAACAATATCAATAAGATACAAATACAATCTCCTAAAAAAAATCAAACACTAGGACAGCTCAAAACAACCAGCTATGAACACTAAGTACCAAGGTAAAACACTAAAACAATCTTTTTATGTTTATACAATACAGTGCCACCTAGTAACTATTTGCAAAGGCTTTTGCAAACAGTTATTACTAATTTTTGAACACTTGACAGCACCCCTGTGATAAGCCATGTCTCCTCTGGGTGTAGTTTGGGAACCTCTGTTTTTGGGTTAATTTTTTTGTTTTCTTCCTCAAAAGATAAAACCAAAAAAAACGCAGAGTTAAAAACAATGCAATTGTAATGGACAAAGATTTTTTTTTTACTGTTTACATGGCATTTAATTAATTTTTTAAAATTGAATAGCTCATGGTATGACCAATGTGTCACAATTCCTCTTAAAAATCTTTCAAAACTAACCTTGATGTTATACACTTAATATTCTTTCAACACCCTAACCAGCAAAGCCGTTAATGTGTTATTAATAAATTCATTATATTATACTAAAACTTCATTGCCCTAAAGCTTAATTTATTCATGATGTTATGAGTATTAGTATTATCAAGATGTATACACAAAATACTAGGAATAGCTCCTAAAAAAAATACAACCATTGAAAGATTGAGGAAGTAAGTACCCGTAAATCCAATTCTTTCTAATGATAAAAGCACATGGATAATGATGAGTTCCATTAGCAGCTACATTAATTTTGCTTCTGATTATGTCAAAAAATTCTTTGTCTACAGCACCATTAAACAAAATTAAATTAAAAACAGTTTCTGACGATTTCAGCAATAGAAAAACTGCTTACTTCTGTACTGACACCAAAGAAAAAATAAAAAAGATTTCTTAAAGTACTTGAGTATTGAATTACATTTACATTGGAATATAATTTTAATATTTGGATTTCTCCATTGTTCAATAAGTAAATAGCCTCAAAATCTTCTCCATCAAAAACATTGTGTGTTTCAGCTTTAATTCTTTGTTACAAGCTCTTTTCAAGACTTGACAACCACGACATAAATAAGAGTAATAGGTCCTCAGACAATCATTGGACCAGTTATTTGCTTGGACCACACCACAAATAATAGAATAAATCAAACACTCCATTCACTCTCCACGACAAGATCTCCTGTCAATGGCTATGTTCATCATGAGAGATCACCTACAACAATAAAATTGCAAGTTCAATTTGAACTTTTAATATAAAATCTAAAAATGTAATTACTTGCTAGCATTTGTTATAATTTTCATACTGTGTTAACAAGTTTATTATCTCATTTTGTGACTTCAGATCCTGGGGAAAGAAACAAAAATAAATAAATGCAAATTAGAAAAAAGTCACAATGTTGGGCTCAGTAAAATTAATTAGAATTATTTAATGCAAAAAAATGTCCTAAAAATAAATTTGGTGAAGTGCCAGCAAGCATTGAGATAGTAAAAAAATCAATTTATGTTTCCAAAAATCATTAATAAGGGTTTTCTTTTCCCCTGAAAACATTATTTATGGTATGTAAAGCCACTATTGAGATTTTCATAATTTAAATTAACGGGTATGTTTTTATTTGTTTCTCAAGGTCTCAAATATTTTAACATTTTTACCCCATATATATATTTATAAATTATTAAATTTTGTTCTGTTTTCAACACAAGAATTAAACTTGAAGATGATGGTCTTAATTAAAAATAAACTTTTATCGGTTCAAGTATTAAAATAAATCTTTTGATTACTGGTGCCGGTACCGGTAATGTTTTGGAGCATTCTAACATCATTAGGTTATCTCTTAAATTATCCATTCCTTGAAAACTATTTACTATTATAATATAGTTTTGACTTTTTTTAGTACAGATGGAATTTGAACCAAACCTGAATCTAACACAACCAACTTGAATCTTGCAGACGACTCATCCAAACCATTAGACAAAAAATGAACCCAAACCGTGCCAATGACCGAACTCAAACTTCAATGTCACTGAGAACGAACCAACCCGAACGTTCAATCCTAACCCTAACCATCTCTAATTCTTAACCTATTTTTCAGCCGTTTAATTCATTATATTAAATGATTTCTTTTAAACGCATGCTTCAGGAGTACTCTTCTTACTTTTATTCAGATGCTATATACCATACTGCTCCACCCCAAAAAAGGTAAAATCCTTTAAAATTGGAATTACATATATTATGGATGAACTGCATCCCGCAATGGCACTAGAGTTTACATTATTTATGATACACTATCAATCTGGGTCTTATCATTTAATAGGTATTATTGTTCAACCATTAATCAGTACCGGTAAAACTATTAAATACGAAGTAATAACCTGTAAATGTTATTTATCCATCCACTATTTTTATCTATGATGATATCTTAATAATTCAATATTTATCTTATTGTAAACCTGATTTTTGTATATTGGACTTGAATTCATGTACATGTACATGTTCTTGTAAAAAAAAGTAAAACGCAACATTCATGCCGCCCCGCATAAACACAATCCAATTTTATGGAGCCCAGCTATTGAACTATAGCAATGTTACACAGCTCTAATTGTGAAATGGTTCCATTGCATATAATTGGCTTTTTAATGACAGCTTGTGTTCAACAGGTTTTTGAAAGGAAAGCTATAAAAACAGGCTGATTCGTTCAAATAGAACATAAATGAGTGCTCTCATGGAACCACTTTTATTTATTCACTATCAATATTACTCCCAGCACCTGTTATTGAATCATTAACATATTACTGCATCAAATCCTAATTTAAAGAATTTTATAATATGAACATCAAACTTTAAATAGAAAAAAAAACAACTTTAAAATTTCAAGATCAAACTTTGGGCATGAATTAACTATGACATTTGACCAAGGCGCAGCCAATCTGGAAAATTCCAATAATACAAACCAAACCAAAGTGTATAAGGTGCTCCAACTGCAAACGCCAACTGATCAACCATGACCAAATTGAAGCACCAACATTTTTTTGCTAATTTGACCACCATACCGTGTACAAAGCTATTCTTACATCTCTTGTGGAGCAGTTCAGCCTGGAACCAATCCTCAACCACTGAATGGCTTTATCATAATCCT